CTCCTCCTCGTGCTCGTCTTCCTCCCCCTCTGACCCCCCGCCCCCCCCCTTCGCTCTTTCAAGACACTTTCTTCTCCCTCCTTACTTCTTTTGTTCGATCTTCAGCAGGGCCTTTGCCTGTGAAAGAGCTCAGGAAGTCTCCAACAGCTGCTGAGCTCTCTTAACCTTCTTCATCGCCTCCCTCTCCTTCTCAGCTGCTGACGTCATCCTGCACCGCACATCATCCTTGCACGTGCTGACAAGCTCCTTCAAGGCACCTGCTGACTTGACTACTCGCATCTTCTGCCGCCTCCTCCTCCCGCGCTGCCCACACCTGCCCTCGTGTGACCCACCGGAGCAACAGGTAGGTCGGGCCTGACCTCGGCTTTCCTCCTTGCCTCGATTGCCTCCTCTTCCTCCTCGCGCTCCTCCTCTTCCTTCGCCTACCAGCAAGTTCAACTGCCATGGCAAACTCAGTAGCAGCTCACGTTGGCCTCCTGCTCCAGCTTGAGGTGCCTCTCGGCTCTCCTTCGCTCCTGTCGCATCTGCCAGCAGAGTTAAGGGCCCTGCGAACTCTTCCCAGCTCGTTTGACCTGAGACAGCGCGTCCTCCTTCTCCTCCTCAGCCGATCGAGCAAGCTTGCCCGCGTCCTCGGCCTTGCGTTCCCACCTGTGACATAGTCTCAGCTGGAGTCGAGTTAGAAGCACCAATCTTGCCTCTCCTCGGCGGAGTGAGCTGATGATGCGTCATCGCGAGCAGCTCCGAGCTTTGCTGACAACCACGCGAGTCCTGCCGGCAGACCTTCAGCTCAATGACCCGCAAACTCCCAGCAGTCAACCAGCACGAGCGTCTCCCAGCCGGTCAAGCAGACCCTCCAGCTTGCCCTCCACCTTCTCAGCTTTCGAGCTATCCGGAGCATGTCAGGATATGAGGGTTTACAAGCGGCATGCGCACCGGCTCTCCTCTGAGGCGTCCTTGGCAAGCTTCTCTCGCTCCTGCTCCTCTTGTCAGCTCGGCGACCTCACCAGCTTCACGCGCACCCTCAGCTTGGCTGCTGTCAGTCCAGCCTCTTCTTGGGACCTGATCGCCCAGTGTGACTGAGACGAACTGAACAAGGAGGAGGAGGACGGGGAGGAGGAGGAGGAGGAGGAGGAGGAGGAGGAGGAGGAGGAGGAGACCTCTTGAGCCTCCTCAGCTTGCGATGCAGCTGCTGGATCTTTCTCTCGGACTCTTTCTTGAGCGCGGAATACTCCAGCTGGAAGCGGAGTAAGATGTTCAGTAGTGCCTCCAAGAGAGTAGGTAGAGGACCTTGAGCTTCTTCTGCTTCTGTAAGATGGCGGAGTTGACGATCTGAAGGAGGAGAGCTTTCTTTTCTGCAGTCGCAGAAGGTAAGAATGAGTCGCTTGCTATTTCGCCCAGCACCTGCTTCAGCAGCCTCCTTCTCTCGTTTCTTGGCTTTCTCTGCGCAATCAAGTCGATCATCTCATCATTGACGCCATGGATTGGATTGAGTTCGTTCACCTCTAGCAACTTCTTCTTGATGCTCCACATCAGCCTGGATGGGTTGCCAGTCATTGAGAACTTTGAAAGCATTCACTATCTCACCCGCATCATTGCTTGCTGTACTGCCGCAGCAACCTGAGAGAAGCTCAGGTCAAGCCGTGTCTTGCAGTGCAACGAGGACTAGCTCAGCACTAGGGACTCACGGAGTTGGCATACTCCCTCCTGAGAGCCCTCTGAGCCACAGCCTGCGCTTCTCCGATTTTCTTCCTCAACGCATCACAAGGAATCGTCAAACAATCCTCGGACTCACTCTGTTTGCTTCATTACGAATGTTGTGCACCTGATTTACGACCAAGAGATCAGGTCGACGAAGGAACATGTCGCATTGCAGTCACTCACTTTGAGATCCGCGTACTCCTCTCCTCCCTGGTCTACCAGGCTGTCCCAGATGTTCTCCCTTCTCTTGATGTCAGCGTTGAGGTCTTGCATCTGTTGAGCATCCATATGAGCAGAGCATACGGCATCATCAGCGCTCACTGAGTCTGCCAGGCTTGCGCTGTCATAAGTCAAAGGGCCTGTGCAAGGATCAGCTCCGGGTAGGTGAGAAGGAAAGCAAGCTATGTGCACACAGCGGCAGAGGATGTGTCACCTGAGGTCCATCTTGATCCTTGATGGCCATTGAGAAGGTCATCGAGGAAGTTGGTGCTGTAAAGGGATGTCTGTGGTAGCCGTCGGGGAGCGATGGCGGAGTGAACTTGGGCTGTCAGGTTCACAGCAAGGTGAGTGGAGGATGCAGCAAACATCAGTAGCAGCATACGCATCGTCTCTGCTCCATCAGCAGCGCCAAACTCTTGCAACTTATACTTGTCCTCCAAACGGTCGAGCATTGCCTGTCAAGGGCGTCAACCACCTGTCCTCTCTTTGCTCGCCGAACCTTCAGCTCTTGTTCTCTCCCTGCGAGGGCTCCGACCCAGCAGCTCAGGAAGCAGACAGACAGAAGCAGCAGCTGTCCCTCTCTCCTCTTCCCTCCCTTCCATCTTCCTCCCTCCCTCACGCTCTGCCCTCCAACCATGCCGGGCAGCTCCTATTTTCGGAATTCCGTGAACCACCCTACCTACCAATCGGTAGGGAAAGGAAGGGTACCTGCACAAGGGTCCTGCGCTCATCCAGAATTGGTACTGTTGACTGAAGCTTTCATTGACATTTGACGTTTTTTTTACTTGACTAAAACTTTCGCTACCGGCACTGCCGCACGGCACTCAGTAGTACTCACTAGGCTACCGTAGGCTGGTTGAACTCAGGCGGCTAGTGTCACTCAGTGGGCCCGGCGATCGGACTACTCACTGGTACCCTCTCAGCCTGCAGAGACTTCAGAGTCCGAAGTACCGTACGGTCGGCCCCTCGGATCGGACGCGCCCGGCGGAGTCCGATCCCGAAGCCTCGGACCGTCAGCTGAGTATCTTTTACTGTATCATACAAGAGCTGAGTCCACCAGTCACTCAAGGCGGCGCCGCTGTGACACGGCGGGCTGAGCGCCCCGGCGCGGCTGCCCTGTAAGAATTCGCGCCACTGCATCATGCCTGCCGCACGCGGCACACCGATTGCACGGGCGGCTGCGGTGATGTTCGGGGTGCCAGTGAGTGCTGAGTATCAGACTCAGTTCGAGCTTTTCTTCATGGCCTTGCGCTGCAGATATCTCTCTCTGCATCACACCAGCCAGTCAGTTCCAGGCATCGAGACGACTTGCCAGCAAGGCTAGCAAGCTAGACTGACCGTGCAGAAAGAACTTCAACCTCGTCCTTCTTCTCGTCTGGTTTAGCCGTCTGGGAGGGGCAGATTAGCTTCCAAGAGTCACAGTGTTCGAGTCAACTCACAATATCTTTCTTCTCGCGCACGTAGCCGTAGGCAGTAGGCACCCAACCATCGTACTTGCGTTTCCGTGATTCCTCATCACGCGACTCGCTGTCTTCCTCCTGCTTAATCGCTTCCTGCTCTTCGTCCCTCTCGCGTTGGTCTGGCACCATGTGAGTTCGTCCACTCCCCCGAAGCCTTGATGCGCTCCTCACCTATCCCAGCTTCTGCTGCAGACGGCATCAAGGATGTGTTGCGCGCTGCTTCCTCTTCTCCTGCATGACATTGAGGGGAGGGAGCGAGTCAGATCGCAACTGACCTGCGTCTTTCGATTCGGTCGCTAAGGATTCGTCGTAACTATCACAACATTCATCACAGACGACGCAACAAATACGGTCGGGGTACCCATCCTGCGCTGCCTCCTCCTCCTCCTCCTCGTACTCTCGCTTTATCATGGCCTCCTCCAAATCCTGCTGCTCTAACTCCAAGGCCTCAGATTTCGCCTTCATGTCCGCAACTTCACATGAGAAGTCAAACGACTTGAATTCTCCCCTCGTCTCTCCTTACCAACATCCTTGGGAGGGGACGCCCCGCGCGCATTGGCTCCAGTAGCCACGTTCCTGCCTCGGAGCATGTTGCTGTAAAAGTCTGAACCTGGGCTTCAGCAAAGGCATCGCGCCGTCACTAGCAAACTGACCAGACAAGTCCGCCTTCTTCCGGACATCGTCCTTTGCGACGAAGTTGTCTTTTGCGTTCTGACGGGCAAGAATGTCAAGGAGCAGCGAGACGGGACTGTAAACAGACCCTTTCATCCTCCCACTTCTTGTTGGCCATGAGTTGTGCTTTGTATGCAGAGGTAACGAATTTCTCCGAATCTCCATTCTCCTCGAGCTCCTGCAGCAAACTACCAGTCACGATTCTGAGGTCCAACCCTCTTCCCAGCATGTCTTGCGGTCAGTCATCATCATGGCGGACCTGTTTCAGCTCCGTTACGAGTCTTTTCTCGAACAGCCTCTCGTCCTCTCGCTTCCTCTCGTTGGTCTTGGCGATCAGGGCGTGCACGTACCGCACCTTGAAAGCAAGTCACAACCCTGAGAGATCCCATCTCCAGCTCGCCTCCTTCTTCTTCTTTGAGTAGTCCAGCCGGTCCTGCTCTGCCTTCTCGCGCTCTGCCACGATGGAGTCGTGCGCTCCGTCATAGTCGAAGATGGAGGAGTCAACGGCCAATGCCTTCGCCATCTCCTTCTCTGCGCGCTTCTGCATCTTCTCTCGATGCTTGTCGCTCATTACAACCTTCGCAGGATCTTGACTCTCCTCGTCCTCTCCGTCATCGTTGAAAATGGACGGTCGCACAGGCGGCTTGCTTGCTTGTCCCGGTCTATGCAGACCATACTTCTTGCCTGCCTGGCCTATCACAATTTTCCCGAAACCGCTCATTCCTACGGTAAGCATACGTCAGGATTGATAACATATGAGGATGGCTAGAAGATGTCTGACGGAAACTTAAGGCTAGACCTCCCTCCTTTTATCATAATGGATATGATAATAATCGTTTCTAGGGAAGATGAAGAATGTTTGAATCTTGCTTTCGTGCCCCACAGAAGACAGGCTATCAGGAAGAAACAGTGATGGGATCAATCAAAGAGTAGCGGTGACAAAAGAACAGACAAGTAGCCAATGCTATCAGCCCGTTCGACAGGAAAAAAGGATCAGGAGACAGGAGTTGAAGAAATGTGAGTATGTCAGGAGTGAGAGGAGCTGAAGCAAGTTGAGCGTGCAAGGAGCAGATGGCAGGAGCGGCTGCAAGGAGCAGATGGCAGGAGCGGCTGCTTCGCATCCGAGCATGGAGGAGCATTGAGGCAGTTCAACGCCACCAAGGTCAAGGGTTGCGGCATGGCAGCTGCGAGGCTGCATGTTCGCAGGATGAATTTGGGCAGCAGATAATAACTACCAACTCAATAGGAAATAATTCATAGCTGTCCCCAATATTTTACTCTGAGGCGCATCGGCTGAAAGAGGAACCGCGCCTCCTGCTAGCTCCAGTGTGTCTGTGATTTCCCGAGCCGGAAATAGAGTCATGCCGACCATGGCGGCGAGGTAGAGGAGAAGCAAAGAAGCGGTGGAGCAGAGGAAGGAGACGAAAAGATGAGAGAGAGCGAAGAAGGAAACAGTTCTCCACTCCCCTCGTCTGAGAGCGCTAACAGACAGTCTGATGGGATGGAAGTTTGCCTGGTCAGAGAACAAGTTTCCCCTGGAAATGACGTGCTGTTACTGCCTATAGTTTCAGCTGATGGAAACCGAGCAGCAGGTCTGAGGCACGTCAGAGGAAGATTGTCTCGTTTCACGGTTGTTGCTGCATCGTTGTCGCTAGCGATCTTAGCCACTCTCTACCTTTCTGGACGACAGCAGTCTGCCTCCCTGATCGCTACGAGGGCAGTTTGGAGGGAGAATCACGACACCTGGTCGGTTTTGGAGAACGAGGGAGATACGAATGCGATGCCCGAGCATGTGCCTAAGATGACTAGAGTAGGAAGGCGGTTCCAAGACAATTACAAGATCGGCATGATCTTGGCAGCTGCCGCACATATGGCATCCGACACAATACTTGAGATCAAGCGATCACTGCTCGGCATGCAGCACGACGAGCATGTCGCGGCATCAAACAGTAAGATCCACGTCGCAGAGACAATGCTGAACCACTTGATCAAAGTGCTGGGGATACAGACGATACCAGAACCCACCACCACAAGCAAACTTGCGTCTGTGAAGACTGCGATGAGAATGGCGAATGATCTCCGGATGGTCATCGCCGAGCTCCCGGAGAAGACTGATGCTTTGAATCTGCACGAAGCTCAGTACAACCTCGCAGTGTATGACTTGATTCAGGTCTCAAGGCAGATCAACGAGATCTTGATGCAAATCTCGTCTGATCGCACTCTCGACGGCATCCGAGAGCCCTCGAAAGACCGGTTTGACATGGTGCTCAGGAAGGCTCAACAAGGTTGTTTCTCGATGTTTCTGCTCTTCTGATCCCCTGATACCTTACGTAGGTTTGAACGACGCTGAGAACGCGTATGGCGCAGATGACAACGACAATGGCAATTGGGGAACAGCGACAGCGGAGGCAGTTTACAATTTTCTTCCTGCGTGGAAACAGAGACTAGAGGATTACGAGGGTGATGGAGATACTGCAGAGAAGTCGGAGAATTCTGTTTCTCTTCCTGAAAACACTCACAATGAGGAGGGGAAGGGGGCAAGCAACCCTTCTGAAAGCAAGGCAGCTGATGAAGAGAATTCTGTACAAGATTCTGATTCGAATGGCGATCAACTCATCAAGTTTGCGGTTGCTGCTGCGATAAAGCAGGTGAAATGAATCGTTCGGATCGAACCTCGCTAACATGGAATCAAACAGGCTGTACGGACAATTGAGGACAGGAAGCATGAAGCAACCAGCCAAGTGAAGCAGTATGAGCTGACATTTGTATTGGGGTGGGAAGATCAACTGAAAAATCTTCAGGATTGAGGAGATAGCGATAGAGTCGGTCATGTCTCAGGTTCTGAATTTCTCACTCTAGCAACTCAATATTGAAACCACAATGCAGTTGCAAGCTTCGCAAACCTTACAACTCGCCGTGCAACGTCGTGCTTTGTCTGCGAAGGTGTCTTCATCCCAGTGCCCTTCATGATGTTTGAATGCTCTTATCTTCACAGCCCCTGGTGAACATCGAGACCTCCAGTGGTGCTGCGACTGCCTCTATCTCTGCTGGATCCGCAGGTAACTAGGCCATTCTCTCATTGAGTCTTCGTGTTGTGATTGACGACAGGCCCTGCTGTGCTCTCCAAGCAAGCTCTCAGGAGCTATGTGCTGCACCTGGTGAAGTTTGCGGTGTACCAGTCAGTCAGGACAGGAATCATGCTGGAGATGCGCCATCCTCGTTGGAGACAATCGATCGAGGACGCTACAAGCACTGCTGTCGATGCCGCAATCAAGTCTCAGGCACTTAAGGGGTTGGCGCGCTTGCGCTTAGCGGAGAAGGCAGCGGTGGAAGGCGCGACCAAGGTAGGAGTGACATGCTCGTGTGTGTATTGAGAGGTTGCAAAAAGGCCACCAAGGAATTAGAGTTCAAGGCGATGAAGGGTGGAGGGAATCAGAAGCAAGAGAGAGCGATCGCCCAGGTAAGGCCGATGGTGGGGGCACAACAGCACGTGTAGGCCATGACTTTGATTCTTCTCAGCGTATCGAAGACTCTGCGGTCTCTACGGCAATACAATCAGCATCAGAGGCCAGCGAGAGATACAAACCTCTTGTCTTCGCGTCCAGCGTTCATGCCGTGCGGCCACCATCGGTTGCGCTCCAAGCTCCACCGAGGTTCTCCATCAGCTCGTCCATGCCTGCCGGACAGTCCATGATCCGTATGGCTTCCTCGCCTTCTGCATATGCCTTTTATCCTGTTCGCTACCAAGGCCCTGCTGGGCAAGTGGAAGTGGAGGAGCCGGCAGGTGGCGAAGCCGCAGGGCCGGCGCCTGAGAGTTTTCAAGTGGATTGAACGTTTGTACAAGTAGAAAGTTATGACGAAAGTTGTTTAAAGTCTTGCGGAGGCAGAAAGCTTCACGTCGGCCTTCACATGACTGACTCGACTTGTACGGTATCATGTTAGGCCCAGCAACTCACTCATGACTGCTGTGGTGACCCCGCCATCTAAGAGCTGTGTTGAAATACTTTGATTCACTTCAGTGGGCAATGTCATTGCTTCATGACCGGAACGCTACGTCTGTTGACGCTTTGCTTGTTAAAGTCAGTGTACAATGTTACGAGGCAAACCTTGCCAAGTGAAATTTTATTTGTAGTTCGTAATGCTCGACAACGACGAGCAAAGTCTTAAAAACATGGCAGAACTGGATGATTTATGGCTCCATCACCTCGCCAAAGTCAGCAACCCTGTCAGTGCCGCCCCGAGAGTTGTGGCCAAGCTGTTCGCAGCCCTTGCATCGTCTCTTGAGTACCATAGCTTTCCAGCCGGCTCTCCAATCAATCATCTGCCTCGCGCCGGGCGTTTATGACGAATGTATCATTCTGTTCTTGACTCAGTCATGTTCGAGGCTGTCACCAAGCGGCCTATCAGTGACGGAAAGCTTCAAATCATTGAAAAATCATTGAGACAGTCAAAGTCAATCATCATCGGGCATTGAATCGTGACTCTGATTTCAGTAGAGCACTAGTTGAGTTTAGTCACGGAGTAAAGCAAAGGCAGTGAGGTCAGAGGGCAACTCAGAGATTGCCCGGCCAGTGCCGCCCGGTTCACGGTCGCGGCCTCAGTGATGCCGTCGCCGCCGCGGGCTCGCCGGCCCCCGGCGGGCCCCGGGCCGCCTTCACAGTAGCCTGTGTCCGATCATCGAGTCGCCGGGCCGAACTCAGTTGCGACGGACCGGTTTTCCGTTTGTTGGTAACCAGTAGTAAAGTACACCAAAGTTTAGTTAATAGAAAACCGCCAGGTGATTGTTGTATGCGACCCAGGGGTAGGGGTGGTTAGGGGGAGTGCGAGAGATTAATTCCATGGGTACACAGTGGGGGTAGGGGTGCGAGGGGAACCAAGAATGTGCGTATGACGTAGGGGTGGTCTGCTGACCTTGCGGGGGTGAAGGCGACAGGAGGCAAGAAGTGGGAACGCAAGCATGGGGTAGTACCATGGATATGTAGGGGTCTTTGAAAGGGGACGGGGTGATTGGTGCGGTAATGGAAAAGGGGGACGTGGTGGGTAGTATGGTTCAGGTCATTCAACTTCAGTATCAGGGGTCATATCTCTGATTGGAGGGGGTGAATGGTGGGACTGATGGGGGTACATGTGCTCGTAAAGTCAGAAAGGGTTAGGCAGGAGGGGTGGGGTGAGCTTGGCGGAACAGGAATGGTTGACGATGTGGGGAAATATTTTCTAGCGAAGACAGGGAGGAGGACGAGGGAGAAAGAAGGAGGCGACTAACGAGTCGGGTTTGGAGAGGTAACCAACGGAGAAGAACAGGGAAGGGAAGGGCAGGGAAGGGAAGGACAGGACAGAGTGTAGGGGGAAGATCACTTTCAAGGTATCATTATATTGGGGAAGAGACTGGAAGAAGGGAATTTACGATTGAATTGCGACGGAAGAGTCTGAAATCACATGGGGCAGAGAATGTCTCATGAAATTATTGCTTACTCACCCTCGGGTATTCAGATCGGCTGAAGAGGCTTTGCGCAAAGATGCTGGGACTTTCGGAGGGGATCTGATGTGCCAGGGCGAGTCGTAACCTTGGAGAACCGGTGAGGCCGCGCGTTTCCATTCACGTCCTCCTCCCGTCTAAACGTGTGCAGGGTCTCTTGAGCTCTTGGGAACCTTGGCAAAAAATATGCTCTTCATTTCAGCCATGGCGGCTCAGAGCAAAGACCCTCACGATAAGAAGAAATCAAAAGCCCCAAGCAAGAACATAGTCTTGCAACAGAGAGCCCCCGTACAACAGCTTGTGTTCACTGGTCCATGCGTGATCTCAACCTTCCTGCTTGTCGGGCTCATACTTCTGATTATTGGATCAATAGCTTTGAGCCAGCGGTCGCATATCAAATCTTTCCCCTCGAATGGTTCCCCGCTCGTTTATTTTGATCTAGACAAATGCATTCAAAATCCCAGCTCTGCATGTAGATGCGCACCAACAGAGAGATCAGTCTGCGGAAACCAAGTCACCCAGTCTAACCCTCCGATTTCCTTCACCCTGCAGGAAGACCTCCCTGGACCTGTTTACTTCTACTACACGCTGACGAAGTTCTTCCAAAATCATCGACGATATGTCGCTTCGCAGGATCCAGTTCAATACAGAGACAAATGGACTGTGGATGCTGCTGGAGTACCATCGACGGGTTCCTTCAGCGGGTGTTGGCCTCTTGAATCTTACACAGAGTCGATCGCTGGCAAAGAAGAGAAGATTTACTACTACCCTTGTGGTCTCGGTGCCCTGAGCTTTTTCAATGATACATTTCTACTTCAAGACTCCAACTCCAATGTTGTCCCCTGGACCAAAGAGGGAATATCATCACGTGCTGGATTGAAAGGCCGCTACGCAAGTCAAAGTGAGGCATGGCTAAAGCAGAACTGTTATTCTTTGGGTGGCTATGATTTCAGCCTAAGCGGCTTTTCAGAGACTTTGAGGGGTACTGCGAACCCAGCGGGACGTTACAACTGTTGGCATAATGTTTCGGATGAGGATTTCATGGTGTGGATGAGACCAGCGGCATCACCGGATTTCTGGAAGCTTCACAGGATAATTCCGAACGGTCTGAAAGCAGGCACGTACCGTCTTTCAATCAGTAAGTGACCCTGTCTCTTCATGCCCCTTTCCTGACCGTCTCCATCAGATGTCAACTTTCCTGTTGCAAGCTTCAGAGGGACTAAAGGCTTTGTTCTGACAAATGCAAACACCTTCGGAACGGATCGAACGGTGAGGATTGTTTTCGTGCCATGGCCAGCAGCAATCCTGAAAATTTCAGTAGTTTGTGGGTGCGATGACATTGGCCGTCGGCTGCATCACACTTGTGTAAGTTTTCGTGCCTGAGAGCCTCAAGTCTGCTTAATCGCAAAACCTACTATTTGTGTTCCTTCCAGTAGTCCTTATTGATTTTTCCTTTCATTCTTCGATTTACCCCAAGTTTTGCTTCTGTTCTGTGATTCTAATTGGCACGCATGCTTTGTTTGAATCATGAATTTTGATATCTTCAGATGCTGCGCCGGACTGCTGGTTTTGTTCATAATGTTTCCTGGAGCAATTCAAAAGCCGGAAGTGAAATACTCCGAAGTCGTTATCAATCACAACCAGGCCGTCAAACGGACAGTCTTTGAAAAGGCTGCAGGAACCATGAAGAGTAACTTTTCTCTCCCCTCCTTCACAGGCAAAGACTATCCTGCAACTGCCGATGACAGTGAAGCGAATGACAGAAGGTGAATTTTGAATGCTGAGTGTGCAATTTACAGTTGTTTGTTGACTTTCTTGCAGGGAGGTGGAATGTCCACCGGACCCGCACAAGCACTTTGAGAGCAACTACGTGAAGACCAACAAATACACAATCGTCACGTTCCTTCCCTTGAACTTGTTCTTGCAATTTCATCGGCTGGCAAACTGCTACTTTCTTGTCATCGCCATCTTAGCGTCTACTCCTCTATCCCCCGTGACGGGAACAACGTACTGGTTTCCTTTGATATCTGTGTTGGCGATTTCTGCAATCAAAGATGCAAGTGAGGATTATAGAAGATACAAATCCGACATTGAAGAGAACAGCCGAGTGACCGAAGTGTTCAACTGGGATAGAGGTGACTTCGAGCAGGTGCCATGGAAGCAGGTGGCTGTAGGAAGTATCGTTCGGGTGAAAACTGGCGACGACGATTGTCCTCCCATGGTGCCTGCAGACTTGTCGCTGTTGTGCACCTCGTCGGTGGACGGGACTTGTTTCCTTGAAACAGCAAACTTGGACGGGGAGACGAACTTGAAGATCAGAGAAGCTCCCGAGGCACTTCACAAGCACCTTGTTGGAGAGCCTCACCAGGTCGATGGGCACTCTGTGGATTGTAATCTTGCGAAGCTGAAAACCTTGAAAGTCAAAGTCAACTGTCACATTCCGGATGCTTTGCTGTACGACTTCAACGCAAGGATCGAGTGGGAGGGTCAAGACATCCCGCTGACGGGAGGAGCGTCCGGTGGTCAGTTCATGCAACGAAGCACGAAGCTGAAGAACACAAAGTGGTGCATCGGCCTCGCCGTTTACACTGGGAAGGAAACGAAGATCCAAATGAACATGACTGACCCTCCGAACAAAGTGAGCAACATCGAGAGAAAGCTGAATGTTTACATCATCGGGATCCTTGCGATCCTTGGTATCCTGTGTCTTGTCGGGGCCATAGGAGCAGGTACGATGAACAATTCATCAGAACTGAAGGGAGCCTGGTACCTCAGCCCCCAGAACACTTCTATCTCGTTCAATGTGCAGAAGCCTGGAACGACCGGGTTCCTGTCTTTCTTCAGTTTCTTGATTCTTCTCAGCTTGTTGGTTCCCATCTCCCTTTACGTGTCTGTGGAGATGGTGAAGTTGGTCATATCCATCCTGATCAGCAGCGACCGGGAGATGTATGCGGAGGAAGACGACATTCCTTCCAAGGCTCGCAGTCTTGGACTCTGCGAGGAGCTAGGGCAAATCAACTACATCTTCTCGGACAAGACAGGAACTTTGACCCAAAACCTGATGGAGTTCAAGAAGTGCAGCATCGCCGGTGTCGAGTATGGTCAAGGTTACTGTGAGGTCGAACGAGCCATCGCTCGAAGACAAGGCAGAGACCTGCCCGACGATCCTCTGCCTCCACCTGGTAGACGACGACCGACGGTGCTTGCTCGTGCTTGACTTGTCCGTGCTGCAGGTGCTGATCCAGGTTTCAAGTTCGTGGACGATCGATTGATGGGGGGTGAGGAGAGAAGGAGTGGTCCCGTTGTAAGGATGACTGTTTCCTGGCTCTGTCAGGCAAGTGGCGGGAGAGCCAGGACAGGAAGATCATCGAAGACTTTCTGTTCAACATGGCGGTCAACCACAATGCTCAAGTAGAGTACAACGAGGGGTCCGACATACCAGCATACCAGGCCGAGTCGCCTGATGAAGGAGCTTTCGTGCAGGCTGCCAGGAATCTTGGTAAGTGTCAACATGCCGAACTGATGTCATTCTTCCATCATTGTTTTGACTTGTGCTCGTCTTTGCAGGAGTTTTCTTCTGCCGGCGCAACATGAAAGACATTCACATCAAGACGTCCGACGGGCCTGTGGGGCAGGGGGTCGAGAAGAAATGGACCGTCTTGAACTTCAATGCGTTTGACAACAACAGGAAGAGGACGAGCGTCGTGATATCAGACGAGACCAAGTCCAACATCCTCCTCCTCATCAAAGGCGCTGACACGAGTGTCATGCCCTTCATCGACGTCAACGCGTGCCCCTACTACAAGTCAACTCAGCAGCAGGTCGACAAGTTCGGCGAGCAGGGCCTGCGCACTCTGGTGTTTGCGGGAAGGGTTCTTGAACCTGAATACTACTCCGCCTGGAACGACAGGTTCAAGAAAGCCTCCTTGCTCAGCGATGGGCGAGAGAAGGCGCTGAGACAGGTCACTCTTGTCCTCTATACATCCGCCTCACTTGTCTCAACTCCGTCCTTTCCCCTTACCCCGCACCCCTTCCTCCTCGCCGCCCCTTGTGTGTTCCTTGTCTGCCTTCTCCCTTGCTGGGTCGCAAACGAGTTTTTCCTTGTCACGATCCGCTGTGGACGTGGGTGGTGGGCTGATGGCTTCTTCTTCAGCTGGCATGTGAGCTGGAGGAGCATCATACAGCGGATGGCTGCGAGTCAGTTCTGTTCGACTCTTCCACTCCCCACGAGTAAGCTCGTCGTGCTTGTCTTGTCCTTGTGCTCACTCTGCCGCAGACGCTCGTTAACCCTGCACGGAGTCACTGCACTGGAGGACAAGCTGCAGGAGAATGTCGGGGAGTGCATCTCGCAGCTAGCTAAGGCGATGATCAAGATCTGGGTCCTCACCGGGGATAAGCTGGAGACAGCTATCAACATCGGGTTTGCGACTGCTCTCCTGACGCAAGAGATGGAGCCGCTCAACAGGATCAGTCAAGACGACATGCTCTCTGACGACCCTGGGTGGAGCAAGGATGCGTCGCAGCATGAGCAGAACCTCACCCGCTGTCTTGATGCTTCGCACCATAGGAATGCGCCGCTGGTGCAGGAGATCTGCAAGAGTGGGAAGCAGAACTCCTCAGGAGCAGAAGTGTTTTCCAAGGTCGAGGAGATTGCCTCTCGGATCAAGCAGGGCAACGACGCTCAGAGCTACGCCGAGTTCTTGAGCATCGAGAGCAAACTCAAGGACGCGCTGCTCAAGGAGCGAGTCAAGCGGAAGATCATCGAGCTCAGTAAGCTCACCCAGACCCCCAAGCCCGGGGGGTGGGCCCTGGTCATCGACGGGACTTGCTTGAGGGCAGCAGCAACTCCGGAGCTCAAGATTCTCTTCCTGGAAGCAAGCGTCCGATGCAAGGCTGTCGTGTGCTGCCGCGTGACGCCGTCGCAGAAGGCTCAGATGACGCTGCTGGTCAAGGACAACATCCCCGGTCAGATTACGCTGGCGATCGGAGACGGAGCCAACGACGTGAGCATGATTCAGGCCGCGCATATTGGGATAGGGATCAGAGGCAAGGAGGGGCAGCAGGCGGTGCTTGCGTCAGACTACGCGCTGCCTCGCTTCGCGTACCTTGAGCGGCTGCTGCTGATTCATGGGAGGTGGAGCTACAACAGGATCGGTACCATGGTCTGCTACTTCTTCTACAAGAACATCTCCTATGCCTTTACCCTCTTCTGGTTCTCTCTGAACAACGCGTTTTCAGCTCAGGTCAGCTTTTCTCCTCTATCCCTCGTTCTCCTCCTCTTCGTTCACCACCACCACCTCTTCCCTTCATCGTCTTCTCCTCTCCTTGGTCTCTTTTATCTCGCTCCTCTCCCTCTCTCCCTCTTCTCCTCTTCTCTCGCCTGCTCTGACTTTCCACCAGCCGCTCTACGACGATGGTTACCAGGCTCTCTACAACCTCGTCTTCACGTCTCTCCCCGTCATGTTCTTTGCCGTACTGGACCGCGACCTCCACCCGTCTGTCGTCCGGGCGCATCCCGAGCTGTACAGTGCCGGTCACTTCAACGTCAGGTTCTCCCTCGCCCGCTTCAGCATGTTCATCGTCGGCGCCATCGTGCACGCCACCGTCCTCTACTTTGTGACTCTGGAGATGCTGGACCTGAACACGTACGGCAGCTCGGGGAGGAACCAAGATCTCTGGGGGGCAGGCACGACGGTGCTGACCAACGTGATCTGGACAGTAACGATCGTGATGGGGCTTCACACTCGCTCATGGACCTGGATGCACTGGTTTGTGTACGTGGGCTCGATCTTGGTCTGGTACCTCTTCCTCGTGTCCTACAACGGCTTCCCCCCCGAATCTCTCGGGAGCTGGGACACGCAGGACAACGTGTACGACGTGATCTACGAGCTGGGAAAGGGCTTCCTGTTCTGGCTCAGCTCCATCGTCACGGTATCCATGTGCACCCTCCCCATCCTCTTCTACAAGTACTGCAAAGAGCAGTACTTCCCCAACATCGACGACTACTACAGGAGAGTGGTCAAGAACCCTTCCCTGTACCCAGCTGAGCACCTGCCCTCGACCTCCAACCTTGACATCAAGATCTGCCAGCCCCACGAGAGGAACTTCGGGAGCAGGGAGTACTCGCCCGAGGCGGCTCGGGAGGCGACGAGGGTGGAGGAAGTCGAGGACGAGCCGGCAGGAGTGCAGATGGAAGCGAGGAGGGGGCCTCCGCAGACGCCATCGGGAGGAGGGAGGCCGAACAAGATTAAGAAGGACTCGCAGGGCATCCTCGAGGTTCAGAGCTCTTCTCCTTAAACTCTCGTCCTTGCTGATTTTTGAGATTCACCTAAGAGATTATTTACACCGTCCCTCCTGCTCCTCCTTATGTTCCACGTCCTCCTCCTCCTCGTCTTGCTCCTTGTGCTCCTCTCCTCGCATGACTTGTTGTGATCGAAGTTCGTCTCCCCATCGTTCTCGCTCTCTTCTTCCCATCTCCATCACTGTCTCACTTTCCCGCTCCTTCAAGCTCACAGCTGCAGGGCTCGGTCAGTGGCGGACGATCGCAAGGCTGCTCACCTGCAGTTTCGTATCCTTGAGCTCTTCAAAGAGACGCTTCTCCGCCTGCCCCTGCAGCGCCGGCATGGAGGAAGGAAGGTTGTAGCTCACAAACACCTGCGCCTTGAGCCGCATGGACAGCCGGCGGGCAAGAGAAGAGCCGATGGACTCGCTCCCCTCCCCCATGAGGGTCACCGAGAGAGGAAGGGGGTCGAGAGACGAAGGCATCGCCATGTCAAGATTCTTCATGGACGGCGAGGAGGCACCGATCCACACGTAAATGCTGTCCTTCATGAGAAGCAGCTGGTAGTACACCTTCACGTCCTCTATCACTTCCATGAACGTGTGCTCGCGGATGCTGCATGCTGCTCCTCCCTCCCCTTCCAGCTCGAGCTTTGTCATGGCTGCCTCCATCTCGGCCATCCTGTTGCATGTCACGATGATCAGCCCTTGCCCCTCCTCCTCCTCCTCCTCCTCCTCTCGTCGGCGCCTCGTTTCTGCTGCTACGACCTCTACCACCACAAGCTTCGTTGCTCCTCCTCTTTCTCTCCATCTTCTGCCTTCTCCTATCATTTCCGTGTAACTCCCCCCTCCTCGCACTCTCCACTTGCTGTTTCTTGCTTTCATTCCTGAGACTCCCACTTCTTACCTCTCCTCCACTCGCTTGTCCTCCCAATCCCCTCTCCTTCCCTCCTCGTTCTCTTGGCCTCGTACATCCCTCTCCTCTCTTCTCCTCTCTCCTCTCTCCTCTCTCCTCTCCTCTCTACTCTTCTCCTCTCTTCCTCGTTCTCTTCCTCCTGCTAGAAGCGCAGGCCGTCCAGTTCATCCCCCTCATCTCCTGCCTATTATCATAATGCCGGCAGTAACCGTTATTGAAATGCCGGGTGCCGCGGCGGGCCGGGCCGGGTGCCGGCGCGGCCGCGGGGCGGCGGCCGGCCCGTCGAACTTCGGAACCGCAGGACTCTGGGAACGGCCGGGCGAGGCCCGGTACGGTCACCGCCCGGACGGGTGCCAGTCCTGGTCAGGGGCCCGGTGGGGCCCCCGCCGGGCCGCCCGGCCCGCGCGCAGGCCGGGCTGCGACAGTGAGAGGGAACTACTGAGTAGAGTCATGACTCATGTGTCACTGTGAACGGTTTACAACGGCGTGAACGGTCACAACCTCTCGAGTCCCGGTCTCCCGGCCGCGGCCCGGCGGCCGCAGCCGCGGCTGGCAACTTGCAAGACCGCCGGTACGGCCTCAGAGGCGCCGAGTGTCGGAGCCTCCGAGGCTCGGAGTCACTAAGGCGATTGCTCAGTGCTACTGACGACTGAGGAGGGCTCTCGGAACTCGGAACCGTTCGTGTCCGAAGCCTTACCCGGCCCGGCGGTGCCACCGGAAAGGATCAAGCCGGGTCGTTAGCCTGAGGGCCCTTGACTTCCACTTCTCTCAGCTTCAAGATTTCCAGCTGACGTTCGATGTGCTCGTCTATGCTCAGCTCCCAGCGCTGCAGGAAGTCAGCTGGCGAGGAGCTTGACCAGAGCTAGGGTATGACCTTGATGAAGGTGTTGCAGTCAATTAAGGTGTCTCGGATGTCTCGGATCGCAGGGGTCAAATCCTCGCCGCCCTCCCAGCCCTTTGAGCGCCGGCCGTTGATTCTCTCAGGGGGAGGCGAGCTGGAGGTTTTCTGTGCAGTCGTCAGAGGGTCACCAAGGGGAAGCGACTGGACCATGGGCCTCTGCCTCCTTCACCTGGCGTTCTTCTCCTGTTACAACTTGCTGACTATTCCTCAGCGCCATCGGAGAGTTCTTAGCAGGGGGTTCGATTCCCGAAGAGTTGATTCGCGGCAGGACAGCGGCAGGAGAGCTGGACCCTTCTAGTTGGGAGGTTCCCCCCTGCTAGTCGCAAACTCAGGATCTATCGTGTCTCAATTGCTCCCTCCTCCTGCACCTGTCCCGCCTGCAGCTCCTTTGATGAGTTGGGGCCTTGAAGGTACCTGAGCAGTAGAGCTGTGAGGGATAGCCGAGCTCAAACGCAGGTGGGCCCAACAGCCCTTGCAGGAAAGAGGCTAAGAAAGTATGACACAGCATAACGAATGGAGAAGCAGGAGCAGAAGCAGGAGCCGGAGCAGGAGCCGGAGCCGGAGCAGGGGCAGGGGCAGGGGCAGGGGCAGGGGCAGGGGCAGGGGCAGGGGCAGGGGCAGGGGCAGGGGCAGGAGGGTGCTTGCGGCTGGTGTTGTGGTAGAAATGGAGGTGCAGAAAGTAGCAGTTGTTGTTGTTGTTGTTGTTGTTTTGTTGTTGTTGTTGTTGTTGTTGTTGTTGTTGTTGTTGTTGTTGTTGTTGTTGTTGTTGTTGTTGTTGTTGTTGTTGTTGCGATGGTGGTGGTGGTGGTGGTGAGCTGTTGACAAGGAGGAGGAAGAGGAGGAGGAGAAGGAGGAGGAAGAGGAGGAGGAGGAGGAGGAGGAGGATAGAAGGTAACCAGTCACACAGGTCTTGAAAGCCAACTTCCCATCCCTCCTCCTCCTCGCTCATCCCGATTGAATTTGAGAGCGATCGCACCGCAAGATCGACCCGCTCCTGCGTCGGCAGCTCATCGCTGAATGTGAGGAAGAGGTCTCGCAGGAGCAGCATGCAATCCTCTCGTGCTAAGACCCCCTTGCCCTCCTGCATGTCAATCTCAAGTCAGCGAAGCATAACAGAGAAGCTCTTTGTCGACACTTTGTCATACTGATCGAACTTCATTCGAAGGTTTGACATTCTGTCGTTTGCCCCATCCTCTCCACCCTGCTTATCTTCAACGTCATGGTCGAGCGCTGGCATATCTAGCGCTCACATGCTCCCCTGCCTCCCTCGTGGGCTCCGAGATAAATTCCTTCCCTCGCGCTATCGCAGAACCTATCCAGTGCACCAGCCCCTTCTTAGACATCCCTGGCAGCAAACCTGGTCAGTAGGAGGAGGCTGGCAAGAGAGCATCGCTGAAGGAAAGATTTGCTTCTGAGCGCGATAGTTGAGCAATCGAGCTCTTCAATCGTCGCCAGCGAGTAACTTCAACTTAAAGTAGCCGAAAAGTCTTTCGAATCTTTGATGTTCCTCTCAGTCTCCTCCCCTGGCTAGCGTCGCTCCACCTCAGGCTGTCGACTGCATCATCTGACTCTCCCCTCCCTCTCTCACTGTTACGGTCACTGCCATGATACTCTCCTTCAGCGTCTCGTCAGCGCCCCTCCCCTGCATCGAAGCATCGCAACCTGATGTGAGTTGACAAGCCGCTGGCTCACCCGGAGTGACTCGGACTCGGAGTCCGGGCCACCCGGTGGCACGGCCGGCTCACCGAGTCACCCCAACTTGAACTTCGGAAGGCCCGGCCCTTGGCACCGTGGCGCGGCACCCCGGGCCCGCCGGGTGACCGTCAAAGCGGCCCGGCGGTCTCCGGCAAGGCTTGCCACCGTCCGGGTGACTCCGACGCTACGGTGGTGACGGACGGTCGGACTGACGGAGCCTCGGAGCCTCCGACCGTACCGTACGGACAAGGCTCTGGGGCTGTGCGACAGTGTCAGGGTGGCAAGCAAGAAATTGGCGAAGTTCATCATCTCTGTCCTGCAAAGCAGCCACAATCTCCTTGCCACTTCCGTACTACGGTACTGATTTTTAACTAAACTTAGAGTAAAGAGATAAAAAAGACAATCATGACGGTGTTCGACAGAGAGTCGATGGACGGTAGGGTTTGGTACACTGAGCCCGGCATGTTCACTTCAATTTGTGACTGACTGTACCGTGCGTCCGAGAGTCGGTCGGACTCCGGGACCAGACCGTACGGTCGGGCCGCCGGGCCGGGCCGGCTGCCGCCGACCGGCGACGGCCGTCGGCTTGGCTTGGTTATAAAGGAAAATGCTGGTCAGTGCAGTCAAACCGCTGAGGTGAGGAGGAGGAGGAGGAGGGGGAGAGGGAGGGGAAGATGGTTGCTAACACGATTAGGAGAAGGAATGACAACGAACGAGAGAGGGGATAGGCTTGGAAGAGGAGTAGGAGGGTGAGAGAAGGAAGCATTTAGAAGATTTCTTGACTTGCCCTACGGCCAAGTGGAGTGAAGGAAGGGAAGGGCTAGAAGGGCAGAGAAGAGAACACTACCCCAGCAACGAGAAGGAAGAGACGAAACAGCTTCAGAGGCATTCATACCGCGAGCAAGCATGCCTACAGCAATGGTGAGCATGGAGCCGAGGCAATGAGGGCTCCGAATCTTGGTTGAGAAGAACCAGGGCGCAAACAGGAAGGGAAACATGTTGACGTTGCGATCTGAGACCACGAAACTTTTGAGATGTGTCGATAAGCAAAAAACTCACTTTCACTCCCGTCAGTTTGTCTTCAGTCCATGGCTTCAGGACCTCGTTACTCGCCTCTCCTCCTCTGCGACACAGGCAGCAGCCGTCACTGTCCATGATCCATGTCAGCTCTGCTTCTGGATAGTCTCCTCACCCTTCTTTCTTCCCTCCTCCTCTGCTCTCCTGTTCTCCGCACAGACTGTTCCTCGTGTTCCCCCGGTGTTTCATTCATACTGCTCTTCCTCTTCGCTCTCGTCCTCCTGACCGGCTGCTGTATCTGCAGATCGCCGGGTTGGACCCTGGCACGGCTCCTCCCAACCTCGACGTCCTCTACTTCTCTGGAGTTTTTGTGTGCCTAGTGGCTGCTGGCCTCATCCAGTTCCAGGTCAAGTCGCTCAGCTCTTGTCCAGCTGGACCTGACCTAATCCAGACGTATGCGGGAGATGTGGGACTGGAGAAGTTTCTGCGTCAGGGGCCCGAGGCCTTGCTGAGTTTGAGCTGTGCTGAGCCTGACAGGCGAGCAGGACAAGAACTGGGAGCGGAAGCAGGCGCGGTCGGCCATGAGCGACAAGCTGAGGAAGAACGAGGAGGCGAAAGGTGGAGGAAGGAGCCGCTCCAAAGCTTTTGACGCTTCTGCAGGGTCCTGGCTGGCGAGCGTCTTACCGAAGCTCGACTTCGTGGAGGTTTATGGGCAGGAGAAGCCGGAGAAGGAGGCAAAAGAAGGAGGAGCTGATAAAAAGGAGGAGGAAGAGATGAAAGATAAGCAAGACTCCATGATGAAGGCAGTGGAAAGACAGGCAATGAATTCCTCCTCCTCCTCCTCCAGCACGTTTGTGTATTTCATTGATTGGCTAATTTACAGGACTTCCAACAAGTGCAGGAACTCAAGGAGGAGCTGAAAAGGTCGGAGGACAAGTGAATACAGTTACCATGCTCGCTTGACTCGAGGCCGAGGACGGGCGCTGCCCTCTGCTGCCGCGTATCTGTTTGCTTCCTGTGAGTCGAAACCTCACACTGGGAGGCAGAAAGAGGAGAGAGACGATGATAGGGATAGCTGCAGAGGAGGAGGAAGAGGAGGAAATGCGAACGGGGTGGGATGGAGGAAGGGGAAGATGAAGGGGAGGAACAGCAATTGCCCGACTAGAGGAGGCAGACTTTCTTACGGCCGCACAGCGAAGGATCTCTTCATGGGCTCCTCATACGGATTTGCCTGCTGTCATGCCACGAGATCACCCTCCCCCTCTCCCCGTCCCCCTCCATCTTTCCCCAGTTCCTTCTCGTTCAGCTCTTCTCCTCTCCTCCCTCAGCCTCTCTCCTCCTTCTCACCTTGAGGTTTCCAGCACTGGCTTCCTCTTGCTTCATCTGCTTTCTTGTCAACCCTCCACATCCTCCAACTTCTCCCCCTTCACCTCCGCGAGCTTCAAAGCGAACCTCTCGGCAGCTCCTGCCTCATTCCTTCTTGTCTTGGCTGATTGGCTTCGCTTGTACAACCGTCCTCCTCCTCCTCCTCCTCCTCCTCCTCCTGCCCCCCCTCCCCCTCGTGCTGCTGCTGCTCCTCCAAGTCTGTCTTTTCCGACGAAGTCCAAGATGCTGTAAAGTCCCTCCGAATCTGCTACACGATCAGAAGCGAGTGAACCGGTCCCTCTCCTCCTGCTGCTGCTGCTCCTCCTCGACCCCTGTCTCGCTTCCTCCTGCTCCTGCTCCTGCTCCTGCTCCTGCTCACCCCAGGCTCCGGTTGTCTTGGTCTTCGTCCTCATCGACCTGGTCGTCCTCGGCGTCGGCACCTCAAGGAAAGCATCGAGGAGCTAGAGGCAGCAAACGTCAGCTCCACCTCCCTCCTGCCCCCCCCCCCTCGCCCCCTCCGCTACTCCTGTTCCTACCTCCTGCCCCTCTCGTTCTGTCGTCCTCCTTCCTCCCCCAAGCCCCCCTGGGCTCTTCTTGCTCCTCTTCCTTCAACTCTTTCCGCCCTTTAGATACCCCCCCCCCTCCCCCGCAAACTCCCTTCCTTTCCTTTCCTTCCTCTCCTCCTCTCACCGCGGTGGAGTCGCGCATCTCCTGCGGCCTCGTTTGCGTCCACTTCTTGGGGCTCGCGGCCCTCGAGGACGATCGACGGCTGGAGCTCGAGGAGGCGGGAGAGTCCAGCTCCTCCCTCGCGCTGACGTTCCCCAACTGAAGCCCAGCTTCCTCCCTCTTCTCGGGCTCATCGTAGAGGGCAGAAAGGGCAGCCACTCGCTCGCGGAGGCGGAGAGAGGAGGAGCGACTTTCTGCCCTCTCCGTCTCTCTCCCCCCAGCCATCTTCTCCCTCTCCTCCTCCGGCACCTCCATCCTCCTGCCTCCCTTCTCCTCCTTCCGCTTGCGATCTTTTCCTCCTTTCTCCTTCTCCTCGCTCCCGCTCCTCCTTTTCTCCAGAAACTTCTTGTAGCTCTGCTCCACCTGCTCGTTCGCCGCTCGCAGCACCACCTCAACGTCTTTTCCTTCCTCGTTGTCGGCGAGCGAAGACTTTCCTCCCCCCTTGAGCAGCTCCAGGTTCAGTCGGAAACTTTGCCGCAGCCTCAGCTTGCTGATCGTCGCTGGCAGCGGCAGGCCAGGCTTGCACGCCTCCTCCTCCTTCCCTTCGTTCAGCTGGCTCCTCGTCCTCTCCTTCCCTCTTCCCTCCTGCTGCCCCGTGCGGCCTGAGCGTCGCTGGCGCTCTCCTCGAAGTCGACTCTCAACTTCTCTGCAGCTTTTGTCATGCAGCTGAAACAGTTTGTTGACACCCTTCCTCCTTCCCCCTTCCTCCTTCCTCTTCTTTCTTCCCTCCTTTCCCCTCAGTCTCTCTCCTTCCCTTCCCTTCTCTCTTCTCTCTTCCTCTCTCTTCCCCTCCCTCCTCGCCCTGCCTCGTTCACCTCGCTTGCAGCTCGCGGAGTCGCCGGAAGAACCTGCGAGACATGTAGCAGATCCATCCATGCTGCAACCAAACTCAACAAGACCAGCCTCTTCCTCTTCCTCTTCCTCGTCCTCTTCCTCGTCCTCGTCCTCGTCCTCACCCTCCTCTCTTCGTGACCCCCTCCCACACTTCTCCCTTTCCCCCCCACCCAGCTTCTTTCTGCCTTTGACCCCCTGCTCTAGTGTAGGAGCATACCTGCAGTACTCTTGCCGCCTGAGTCTCCTTGCTCTTCCAGCTTGTCACTTCGAGCCGACGAAGCTGAGCGGAGAGCAGAACAATCGCCTGTTTCCCCTTCATCCACATCTTCCGATCCCAACAAGTTCTCGTCCTCCGCTGCAGTTCGGCAGCTGCTTTTCTCTTCTGCAGCTGCTCCTGATCTCTCCTCCTGCGGAGCAATCGAGACAGCAAGTTGGCAGCCCTGCCTTGTATCAGTTCCCTTCGCTACTTCCCGGCAGATTCTCACCTCCTCCTCTCAAGATCTGATCGCGCCATCCACCGTCTCAGCAAGAGGAGTATCCTCCTCCCGCCCTCCCTCCTCTCCCACCTCCTTCTCTGCAGCGCTGAACGCATGTAAACCTGCAAGCATGATACGATCAAACACATTACTGCTGCTCTTCAACCTCCTCCGTCTCTTCCACCATCCCCTCCTATCCTCTGCCTGCTCCTATTCCCCGAACTTGGTCAAATGCCCCCCTCCTTCTCTTCCCTCACCTTCAGCGAGTTTGCGGCTCTGATGCGGCCAACCCGTCTGCGAGCGTCGCATGAGCGGAGGAAGCAGCCGATGCGCAGAGCAGCTGAGAGTTTCAGCCAGCGGTCGCATGGGAGGAGACGGCGGATCCTCGCCTGAATGGCTGTCAGGAACAGAAGGAGGGGCGGAGGACGAGAAAAGGTGGGAGGGACGTGGTGGTGGAGGAGGCGACGGAGGTAGAGGAGAAGGTTGGAGAGGACCTGAAGCAAGCATGTAGCAACTTTCTGTCGGAGGAGGGAAGAGGCCTGGCTGAATCGGACGAGGGAGGGGAGGAGGCAAGATTTGACTGCTCGCAGTTGGAGGATGTACGAGAAGCACAAGGAGCGTCGCTTGATCGTTGACAGGAGCAGGGAGCAGGCGAGCTGCTGGCAGAGGCTGTGGCGCTCCCTCCTCCTCCTCACTGCTATTGCGAGCGACTTGACGGCCCTGCCATGGAACGTAACAAGTCAGAGAAGATCGAGAAGAGAAATTCATGCTGTAAGAGTTGGGAAGAAGAGAAACAAGAAATAGAAGGGGAGAGGAGGATGGAAGATACGTTGAGGGAGAGGAAGAAAGAGGAGATCAGCAGATCAAGGGTTGGAGGTAAATGCAGTGAGTGATGAGAACAATGTTTACAAGTTGAAGGAGGAGCGGGATTGTGATCTCAAGGACGGAGGGAGGTGGTCTTACATGGCCTCCAAGAACTTATGTCGCTCTGCTCGCCCTCGCACTTTGTTCTGCAGCAAGAGAATTGCATGATGAGCTGCTGGAAATTCAAAGACGCCGCTCATGCAGAATCTGCGCGTCAAATCAATGCTGAGATTGATGCGGAGGGAGGTCGAAGGGGAGGAAAAAGAGCGATGGAGGGATGGAAGAGCAGAGCAGTAGCGGATAGAGAGGAGGAGGAGGAGAGAAGTAGTCAAGAAGGACGAGGAGGGAGGAAGGTCAACCGTCTACATAGCAGGCGATGCTCCGGAGCCCTGGAGCGGCGGGACCAGAAGTCTGTCCAGGCAGAAGGAACAAGACGAGGGGAAAGGGGAGACGGAAGGAAAGGAAGAAAAACTCGAGGACGTGGAGCTGATCTCGCCTCCTCCTCCTCCTCCTCCTCCTCCTCTCTGCCCTCCTCCTTTCTCCTGCGATTCGCTAACAGGAGAACAGACCGGTGGAATCGCCGAGCAAGAAACCCCCGGCCCAGAGCTTGCAGCTGCAGCACACACGCTGCCTTCCTCCTCGCGCACGCCCGGGCCTTGAAACCTTTCCAGGCCCGCTGAAGACGAAGAGCGGAGGAGAGGAGAATGTAGAAGCGCAGCTGCAGCGTTCGCTTTGCAGATATCTTTCGTGGAGTGAGGACAAGCAAGCGATGGAGGAGCGGAAAAGAAATGAATGAGTAGGAGGTGGAGAAAGAGAAGGATTCAAGGAGGAGCCCAGGACGAGGAGTACAGGAGGAAGAGGAGGGGGTGGGGGTGGTGGGGTGGGGGAGGTAGCCTCAAAGGAGGAGTAGGTGGAGGAGGTTCAAACCTTGAGTCTCTCTCCTGCCATGATAAGGCGGACGAATCTCCTCCTGGCAAAGCATGCCTTGCAGCGAGTTGAAACAAGTTTCGAGCTTCTCCTATGAGCTTGAAACCTACGCAGATATCATAGGCCATACAAGCAGAAGTAAGATAGGAAAAATTGAGGTAAGAAGGTAAAAGAAGAGTGCAGCCGAGGAAAGAAGAAGATAATCTACCTCTTCCTTTCCAGGAACTTTCTGAATCTTCGTTGGATCGTCAAGACATTCGCTATCACAAGTTGTCTGTAAACTTTGTAAAAGAAAAGAAGAAAATGGGCAGAGTAGAGAAGAAAGAGCAAGGGGGGGGGGGGGGAGAAGGGAGCAGTGAAGAGGAGGAGGGAATGAAAGTAAGAGGAGGAGAAGCGAGCAATTGACCTGTCAACAAAGATGTCAAAGTTTCTCATCGCTCTGTTCGACATCTTCTGGCCTTCCACCGCAAGACTCAAATCTCCTCCTTCCCTTCCTTCACTCTCAGTCCCATCTCGAAAGATCAGGCACCACCCATGCTCTCTCCTCATATTCTCAGAGGAGGAGGGACTGGAGGGACCATTCTCCTGCCCATCTTTCTGTGCCTCCTCCTTCATACTCTCGTCGTATCCTTCCTTGTCAAGGCCTTCGTTCGCTCCTTCTGTCACTCCGTCATTTTGCCCTCCATCCACATGTTCATACCTTCACTTGACCTCCTCCTCCACTCCGGTATCGCTTCTTGAATCTTATCCCACTGATCCTGACAGCTTCCCAGCAACCCGACTGCCTCCACCCTATTGGCAAGTTTGAGAAGTAACCATCGCTCCTCGCACCCCTCAGATCCAACCGTCTCAGACGCTCGAAGCCAATGTCGACAATGAGCTGAAAGAGTTGTCAATACCTCCTCCTCCTCCTCCTCCTCCTCCTCCTCCTCCTCCTCACAGCGAGCATATCCTCCACCAGCGCTTTGCTCATAGACGCCTTGACTGCGGTGGTGTGTCGCAGGTCAGGGGACAAGTTGATCTCCAAAAGCCAAGGGTGCTGCATTCTCGAGTGAGAACCTGTGCCTCCTTCTCCTTCTCCTTCTCCTTCTCTTCTCCTTCTCCTTCTCTTCTCCTTCTCCTTCTCTTCCATTACCAGCGACTCATCGAGAAGAACGTCGAAGCCGTAGAGTTCGAAGGAGCCCTGCTGGAGTTGATGAGAAGGAGAGAGCGACAGAGGCAAGCAGAGAGAGGAAGGAGATCAGGAGGAGCATCCCATACGTGCAGACAAAGATGATTGAAAATCGCGAGAAAAGTAGAGGGGCGTGAGACTGTGAGGGGAAGGGAAGGAGGGGGTCCGGAAGGATAGGATGGGATGGGATGGGATGGGATGGGATGGGATGGGATGGAAGAGCGATTGGAAGGGGAGGAGAGATTGGAGGCGATGAGAGGGGATGGGTTGGGTTGGGAGGGCTTGCGGTGACTGGTGACCTTGCGGTTACGGATCTCGTTCTGAGCGGAGCGGAGGGAGGCAACGACCAGGTGCTTGATGGCTGGGAGCACTTCCTTCTCCCAGATGTCCGGCCTGCAAAACCCTCAACTCTCGTCCAGCTGAATATATCGCAGGTTTTGTTTCTCACCTTCCGGTTTCTTTTGCCAGATGGTCAGCGAGTGTCCACGACGCCCATACCTTCAGCAGTGTGTCAAAAGTTTCAACGGGTTTTCAACTCCTTCAGCCTGTCAAACCTGCTGGAAGGAGTCGTGCTCCCGGAAGTTGACCTTGTTGACAGACACGTTTGACAGGTGGGCAAAACGGTTGGCGACGTCAGAGAGGTTCCAAGGCTCGCTGCAGAAACGGAGGATGCAGTCTTGGTAGAACCAGATGCTTAGAGGATTCCAGTCCGTGACAAGAACCTGCAAGTAGCTGAGCAGCAGCTGGACACTACCCTCCTCTCACCCAGCAACGGATGTCAAACTTCCTGGAAGCGATGAGGAAGGGCCTTTCCACATACTTCTGCAGGACTCGAGCTGTTCCCTTGCTGTCCATAGCCTGCAAGAACATCTCAGCTAACCAGGTTGACCACCGGCCATATCTCCTCCTCCTCCTCTTCTCTCAAAAGTCTTCGCCTTTGCCCTCTTCATTCTCGTCTGCTCTCTTCTCTTGTTGCCTGCCCTCTTCTGCCTCTCGTCTCGCTCCCTCTTCTCACCTGACTCAGGCGGTCGAAGAGCTTGATTCCAACCCCTTTGCTGCTGTTTGCCGCCTGACGGCAGACATGAAACATGAGCATGAAAGGATGTGCAGGGAAATAAGAACAAGGAGCAAACAAACGAGAACCAGGTCATGGAGTGAGCATACCTTGGCAATCCACACGCCCTGCATGCCGTTGACAAGGAACTGAGGGTCGGCAATCCTCAGCTCGTGAAGAATTTGCTTGCAGTCTCTCGTTAACGGATCTTCAGCAGCTTTCAAGGCATCTCAGTGAAGTCACGATCGCAGGCTCGTCGTACCTGAGAAATGTTTCCCTCCCATATCCACCTGCTCACTGCCATTCTTGCTTCTGAAAACATCTCTCATGCTACAGGGGAGTATCAGACAGATTAAATCGCATCAAAGTCACGGCTCGCCTGTAGAACAGCTCTAGGACCTCCTCTATCAAACTCTGCTCTCCGCAGATCCCCGCGACCCCGCCCATGTCCACCCAGCCGTTCTGTAGCTGATGAGGAGAGTCTTCATACCGCAGACGATACATCCTCTCCTTGGCCAGTGCCAGCGCTGCTTGCACGAGATGGAGCTTGCTGATCGGCCAGGCCCCCTCAGTCCCGTTGCTCTGCCGCTCTGCGTACATGCAGAGAACTCCTTGGATGGCAGAGAGATGGAAGGAAGCGACAAACGAGTCCCATTCCGTGCTATCCGACACTTCGAAACACCTTGAGCAAAAGTTCAGAGCGAAGGCGAGCAGCGAACGGCTAGTCATCAGAAACAGGACAGGGAAAACGTTACTGCTTGCACACAGCACTGAGGCCTAAAAGACTAAAGGAGGAGGAGGCAGCATAAGCGAACATAAATGTAAGCATACTTGGGCTGAACCGTGTCAGGGTCAAGGTCCATTGCCCAGACACAGTTGCGAAGATTCCGGCAAAGAAGACCCTTGGAAGTGATTTCACAATTTCCCTGAAAGTGATTGACAATCTGGTTGCGCTTCAGGTCCTTATAGCCGACGTCGTTGTCATACAGGGTCCACTGAAAGACGTTCAGGGACAGAAAGCAAGACAACTACAGAGAGGAGGAGGAGAAACCGATAGATAGGTTACGAACACACAGAGCGAAAGGAAGCCAATGATGGGACTATGATGACCTTGAAATCGAAGACTCGACTGTCCTTTGTGCTATTCTCACACCACCCTCGTCTAACGAGCCCTTCGCGGATGTCCTGGAAAGAGCCGCAGATAATGAAAATCTTCTGCTTGCTTCCTCGCTTCCGTCGGATGGCCAGCGCTGCCGCTTCATCCTTGGTACGAGCAGCTTCACCATCGTCAACAGTAACCGTCGCTGCAAGAGGAGGGGGAGGGCGGAACTGCAAGTTACGTCACAGGCTGTCGCATAAAAGCAGCCGAAGTCTCACTCTACTCGCACTCGCGATCCTCCGTTGGGGTCTCACGTTCCCGTTGGGGGCTTGGGCGATGACCAACTTGCTCCTGCGGATGGTTTGCTGCTCTCTCCGTATGGGAGCAGTCTGAGGACGGTTGTGGCATGCGAGGCCTTGTCTGGGTTGCCAGTCTTTGGGTCGATATTCGATTCTCTCCTCCTCAAAGGCAGGAGGCGTTTCTACCACAACCACATGCCGGTGTCGCAGAGCCGAATCATGGTTGTCCAGGTCCTCCTCCAAGTCCTCTGAGGGAAGAGACTCGTCGCTGAACTCGCTGTCGATGTCAACCATCCCGTCATCATCGCTGTGCTCATCCACATCCGACAGCTTTGAAGACACGAGGCCAGCCCCGCGAGGGCTAGCAAGCAGCGAGCCCGACAACTCCTCGCGACTCTCGTCATGTCGTCGAATGAAGCGAACGCTCCTTGGTTGGTACGCTGAGAACTGGGGTGGGTCGGATTCCTGCAGCCCTTGCGTGACCGAGCTTCGAGGTTGCTTCACGCATGACAAGCGATCGCTTTGTTGTTTCCAGTACAACAGGTCCTGCTTGCTTGCCTGCCTCGCGTCTGCATCTCCCAACGAAGAGGTCGTATCCCTCCAGTTGAGTAGAGCCTCGTAAGGGTCCCCTCGCCCTGCTTCTTGACTCGCCGCTGATTTTGGACGCGCCTTGTTGAGCGGCTTTCTTGGGATCGCAGCCGAACGGGTTCGAGGAGGATGGATCTGACCCCCGTAGACCTTCTCCAACCACGACTTGAGCTGCTCGGTCTTGATATTCTTGGGCTTCGCTTTCGTGGGCGCCTACAACCTTGTTCAGAGCTGGCGATTCACAGGAGGCAGAGAGTGGGTCAGCACCACAGGGTTTCTTGCCGCCATGGTGGCGTCAGGGAGGCCAACAAACAAGCCTTGTCTGATGGTTCGGAGATGCTTCTCGAACTCATCTTGCCGTGAGAAGGAGGCCATGGTATTGTCGGCCTGCTGCTACTCTGCCGCTCCTATCCCTCTCGTGCTTTACCATGCAATCTTCGCCACGACACATGATGGATCTCTGGATCCGCCGTGGCGTATGCCATGGCTAGCATGGAGTTGAAGGGCAGCTACAAGAACAGCAAGGCATGGCAGTCAGCCATGCAGCCAAGGAAAAGAGCCTGGCATCACATGTCACTGGTGTCAAAGCACAACCTGAACAAGTAAACGGCTGACAACTGAAGCCCTGGCCTTGTGGGTGTGCGCGCGTGTCTGTCTTCACCTCTCCTCTCTTCCTCCCTCCTCTCTTCCTCCCTCCTCTCATCCCCCCAACCCCCGCCCCTCGTTCCCTCCATCTTCGCCTTCTTTCCTTTGCTAGGAGCAGTTGCTTGCCCTTCCCTTGCTCAGTGAGGCAGGCTTGCCGAAACGAAATGAGGGAGGTGCGAGCGAGACATGGCTGACGGCGCTAGCAAGTCAGAGACGCAGCATGGAGAAGAGGAGACGTAAGGGGAGACAGGAAGACGAAGAAACAAGCAGCTGAAGCGCCCAAGGAGGGAGGAGCAAGTAGAGCCCCGACCATGTCCTCGCAGAGAGAACATGAAAAGGCCGTCATGGCAACGAGCGAAGATGCAGGTAAGTTGGCGGAATCGTGTTGAGGCTGTCAATATCCTACAGTATATGCATGACACATGAGGTCGAGAGATTGGAGAGTACCTCTGATACCTGCTCTCCTGCAATAGCTTTGTGCAAGTCCATAGCATCGTCCAAGGGATACTACCAAGTACGTCGAGTGATGTGTGATTTCCAAACGGATGGAGATGTTGATTCTTTCACGTGCGTAGGATCCTTTCATACACGTCTTCGTGTCTAGATCGGGAAGCAGACCTCCTCTCATCAATCGTGGGCATTATGCCCGAGTAACAGCCGTGAGGTGAAGTCCATAACCTGCACCTTGGAAGCTGAGATCGCCGACAGGAATGTCATATTTCAGTTTCTAGAAGCATGCGGAAACAACAGCGACGATTCATCCTCAGGTGGATGGAGAATACATGTGTCGCTGGAGTTACCATGGTGTTGTAGAGAGCGATCTTGCTCATGGTCAAAACCTCCGGGAGCAGATTGTGATTCTTGGATCTGGCTTGGACAGCACATTTTTCTACCTCAAGAACATGAGCAAGGTGATTCGCCAACATGAATGCCAGGAAGTAAAAGATTCTGTTTTCACAGCAACCACGGGGAGGATACTTTGAAGTAGATTTTGACGATGTCGTAAAATTCAAGAAAGATCGGATCATGCGATCTGACGCACTAAAGAAGATACTTGAAATTCAAGTCACCGCTTGTCAAAATGATCTCTCTCGTTTGATTCGAGCTTTTCAGATTGATGAAAGTGAAGAGCCTGAAACTGAAGTGGATGACAAAGAAGGCGATCTTGGGCTTCGAACACGAGAGTACACGCTGCTGTCCTGTGATATGAGAAACTGTCAGGTGCCTTTGCTGAGACTGCGATTCAAATGTAAACAATAGAGCAGGAGCTTGAAGCTGCTTTGGGGAGCGCTGGAGTTGACTTCTCAGCTCCGACACTTTTCATCAGGTAGGTCTCGAGGTCGCTTGTCGAAATTGTCAATGACATTGAGGCAGTGAATGTGTGCTGATATACATGAAGCCTGGTACAAGGACCGTGGAGTGAATTTTCATGTTTGAGTTGTTGTAGCTGAAGGAACTAGAATCATTGAGTGGGCGGCGAATCTTTTCCCCTGTTCAATTTTCTTCACTTACGAGCAGGTTTTCAATGCTTGAGTTCACTGTTGAATCACTCAAAACAGATCCATCCGCATGATCCCTTTGGGAAGGTGATGGCTCAGAATATTTCGCTGCGAGGATGCCCCCTTCTGGTCAGCAATGCGTTTGCCCCTAAACCATCGTTTCTCCCTTCTCAAGACTTTTGCCAGTCCTTCGAAGCCTATCCAGACTGTGATTCTCAAAAGCAGCGATATCTTGAGGTGAACCTGAGTTACTTTTCGTTGGCTTTGCACGAAAGCATGCTTATTGAAATGGTAAGGCAACCTGGGAAACATGCGAGGCAATATCTATGCAGGACTTTTACGACGGCCTTCCAGAGGAGGAGAAGAGCAGGTTCTGATTCTGTTGCAGACAGAGAGGAAATGATGATTTTTTGTATCAGAGTTGCTAAGATTGAGTGGTTAGATGAGATCGAAGAGTGGAAGATGATCCAGGTAACATTTGCTCTGCTAGTTGACATGCTTAATGTATCTTGCAAGCAACATTATTGCTTCATCCTTGCCACAAAAGATGCTGAGGGACGTAAGTTATGGGCAAATCTCAAAATCTCGACGTAAATGGTCGATCTAGTCAGATGACGCTAGAGGGAAACATTCTGTAATGTACAGAAGAAATCAACTTTTGAAATTATGCAACATAGAAGCTACTTGAATGTATTTAGGAAAACATATATTTCAATAATGTACACGTCACAGAAGCAGGAGGAAACTCTGGGCTCAGTAAGATTGTCTGCGCTCCACATGCCTCATCGCTTCTTGGAAGAGAGAAAACTCGTCGATCTCAGACTCCTCTTCAGCTGAGGATTCGAGAAACTTGGAACTGCCAGCAGCTTCTCCCTTGGACTTGTTTCCTTTCACTCTGACAGGGTTGACAACCCTGTGGTAGGGCCACCGATCGACGCCAAGTTGTCTGCAAGCGTTCTTCAACGCTGAGAGCGAGATCCCCTGGGACGAGATCGTAAGTCGAGACTTGGGAAGGAGAAAACACAAACACATACAAGATGACGTGCAGCTTCTGTCTGCCTCAGGTGAAAGAGCCCTACGATGACATCGGCATTCAGCGTCACAATTTCGCAGGGACGTTTTTCTTCGCCATTCTTCTTTCGTGGGAATATCTGAGCTACTCTTGGAGAAATCATAGGAGATGTAGCAACAAGTGCGAGACCTGGAACAACGCATTAGTATGCACATTGAGCAAAAACATTTTCGAAAGAAATGATGTAACCATCTGAGTAGTTATCATCAATTAGAGACTAAACCATCTTTGTCACTCCTTCACAGCAAGGAATTATTAGCTAGCTACATGAGTACCATGGCCGTCTCTTTCTTGCTCAGCCGCTACATGAGTACCATGGCTGTCTCTTTCTCGCTCGGCCACATTCATGGCATCTTCTGCTTTCTTGGACTACAAGATGAACTCGCGCACTCCTGGCCTCTTGAAATCCTCTGCGGAGTTTTCCTCGTTTTCTTCCTTCGTAACGTGACCAGTAAGCCTTATCATGTTTTTTCTTACGGTCGCATGTTTTTTGCGACTTTTCAAATCACCAATATCTTCAATAAGATCTGTTTTCATATCTTCATTCGCTTTTCTTTGTAAGAATGGGACTGTATGTCATCGAAAACCTCTATTTCGAGGTTCTACTTTACTACATATCTGTTACACAACTGGATACATGTCACGAGTGGTCACGAGGTGGGGCAAAATGTCGGGTCGGATACGAAATTTGCAGAGGGTGTTTATTTTATCATGTCGTACTGATCTTTTAACTTAACTTTGAGTAAAGAAAAAAGACGTCATCAGTCGGATACGTTTCTTGTCCTCAGGTTGGATACGGAGTAGAAATTTCACTCAAGAGACCCGGAGCCTCGGTCCGCTCTTCCGGTCGGCCGGTCTAGGGCCCGGGCCCCGAAAAACAAGTTTGTTGCAGCAGTGCTTTATCTGCGGTGCCTGCCTCTGCGTCAGTGTATGCTTCCCCTAAACCCTTCCTCTTCCTCTTCCTCTTGCTCTTCCTCTTCCTCTTGCTCTTGCTCTTGCTCCTTCTCTTTTCCTCCCATCCGTTTCGTAGCCTCACCGCGCTAGCCTTACATTGCTTAAATTGACATCTTTTCTTCAAGACAATAAGTTGGATCATGAACGCATTGAAGCATGGGACACGAAGTTTCTTCTCCCCAAGTTGCTTCAAGGGCATGCAGTTAGCAACTCAACTTTCATCTCGAAGCTCTTTCTACACTCGTGCACCTTCACAGCAATTTGCACCAAGGGCGTTTCTCAGCGTATGTTCTTGCTCTCACTTTTGCTTGAATGGCTTGACAGACGAGTTTCCCTTGCTGCAGAGTTTTGCGACGGCTGATATTTGCGATTCATATGGTCTAGACGTGTCTAAGGTCTGCCCTTACTGGTCGCTGAGATACGCATGACTCAAAAGTCATCCAGATTTCATCAGATCATGGTGTAAAAGTCATTGACCCTTCTCTGAATTTCAAAAATTTTGGTGGTCAATCAGAATTTTGTGGAAGTATCGTTACGATCAAGGCATATGAGAGCAATCCTCTTGTACGATCTTCATTCTTTGTGTGCCACCTCCACTGTTTCGCTAACGCACCATCCTTCTCTGCCTTGATATGATCCTGATGCAATCGTCATCGCAGGTTCGTGCAACTCTGCAAGAAGACGGGAATGGCCGAGTGTTGGTAGTGGATGCAGGAGGGTCAACACGATGCGCTATGCTCGGTGGCAACCTTGCAGAGATTGGTAACGCCATTTCTTCTTGGCATCACCAAAAAGGGAACTCAGCAATCTCATCTTACTCTTTGTCCAGGTGAAAAAAATGGCTGGGCTGGAATTGTTGTGTACGGTTGCATTCGGGATTCAAAAGTACGTCTTGTATTCACCTTGTTGCATGCTTGCAGCGCGTTGTGGTAACATATGATGCGCAAGGAAATTTCAAATATTTGCATTGGGGTTAAAGCACTCAACACACATCCTGTGAAATCCCACAAAGATGAAAAGGGGGTCAGGTATTGTCTGGTTTCTGCCATGATAGCAAAACTCAATCAGGACGATGAAACTTTTTTTCTAGGGATGTGCCTTTGCACTTTGGTGGAGTCACGATCCGTCCTGGAGATTACATGTATTCGGACTCTGATGGAATATTGATAATGCCTGGACCAGTGAAATGATGTTCATCCTCTACCATGGCGCTTACATTAACTTGTGTTTCTTGTTTAAATTTCATTAGAATCTCGATAACTTCGCTATGTTGCAACTCAGTATATTTACTTTAAAGACACCTTTCTTGTTTGCACCTGAAGGTTGAGAAAACACGAGTCAACTTCCTCTGATGCTTGAAGAATACAAGGGAGATGCAATGGAACAAATGAGAAAGCAACTTTGGTCTGCTTCACATGTTGCCGCGATTTCCCTAGAAAAGCGTAAAATAACAATTTGCCACTCTCAAGTTCATTTTAGATTTTTCTACACACCATCATTCCCCCTCTTTGAGAATATCTCGTAGCTCGGATAGCAAGCTGATGAATTGATGAAACAAAATTCCATGCCCTTGAAACCAGGATGTCAAGATTGCTTGTGCACAAGCAAGGTCACCTCCACTACAGAGGCGCAATCTGGGCCGAGAGCATCTGGACGCAAGCCATGCTGATGTACCCAAGGGAACAAGATCATCTGACTTGCCAAAAAAAAGGAGCACAGGAACTCCAATGTCAGACAAGTTGAGTTGTAATCCCCGCTGCGCTCCCATATTAGCATGAACCTTTGGTGATTTTGAATTTGAAGAAGGCAAACGTACCCCCAAAACTGTAAGAAAATCCTCTCCAAATCCCAAAAGCCCTTGCCCGACGGCGTCTTGTAAAGTTTGATGGATCTGCACGAACTTCGAAAGATGTAGAGATCCAAGGCACAAGCTTACCATCGCACCAGCAGTCTCTTCCTCATCTGAGGTGAGGACGTTTCTAGGCTCACAACGGGCTAGCAATCTTCACGTTGTTACCTCACTGGTCATGAGAAGCAGAATCTACCTGGTCGCGGCAGATGGAGACATGTGTGAGATTTGTTTCAACAGCAGCGCAAGGCTGTAGGAAGGTATCCCTGCGATCGAAGCAGGAAGTTTGGAGGATGCGAACTCCAGGCATGCCAGCCCTCGGCTTACGAGAGAGTCTTCACGGCTCACCATTAGATACTGTTGCCGAGTCTCACTGTCTCGCACGTGCAAGGGATCAGAGGTCTACCATAGGAACGGATGCCCCCACTAGAGCCACCGCCTTCACCCTCGCATCTTGCTGGGCTTGCGCCAGGGCGTATGAGGCGCCAGCAGAGAAGCCAACCACGGCAAAATGAGAAATCTGAAGCGACGTCAGCGCCGACACGATGCGAGTCGAGCAGCAGACATTGAGCTCGTCTGCTACATGAGACAAGTCTTGAGCAAAGTCGTGCGGTGAGCGACTTGCAAGGTTGGTGGACTTGCCGATTCCTGGCCTGCGCTCATGTCACGAGACAGACAGGTGCAGAGGTCGAAGTTCCTGTCCACAGATATGAGGCGGATTCCCATCTTCGCGAAGGCTTCATGAGCATGCGCGTTCGAAAGATAAATGGACGGCTCGAGTCTGCCAAACGGAAGACCATGGTGATAGACGACGGTCTTGCAGGCGCTAGAGGGATCCCCCCACTCGCTGATGCCAAGAGTCCTTCCACACTTGAGCTTGAGGGAGTACTCCCTTGCAGGAGTGAAGAGCCGCCTCCTCTCAACCCGCCATGCGCACCTGCGGGACATGTTTGCCCGATAGGCCTTGTACGAGCATGGAATGGGTCCGCCTCAATGGAAATATCTCTCTCTATTGTCTATGAAGGACAGAAGAATGAATGTCTTGAAAATAGCACTCGGGAAATGCACTGCCCTGGTTTTGCAAAGAACAACAGAAAGAGCAACAGCATGGTACGATGACGATGCTGAAACTTGTAGTGAGAAGAAAGACGGACGTGAGCTTTTGAGATGATCATATGTATCTTTTGACGTGTTTGTATCGTGCTCAACTTTATTGCTTGACTTACTGGTTATGGTCTTGACCATCGACCTGATTTCAGATCGTGCGAGTGAAATACAACGGGTCAGTGAGCGAGGTTTCGGCTCTTACCCTCGATCGAACTCTGCTAGGCGGAGAGCAAATCTTTGCCGACATCGCAAATCAGCTGGGCTTGGATCAGAGGAGACTGAAGATCATTCACCGGTAAAAGATATCTTTTTTGTGCTCATTGCAGCTCACCCGCTTGGATAGGGGTAAGGTTTTAAACCCTGGGAACATCAGTCAAGTTCTGCATGACGATCCTCGTTCAGTGCTGCAAGTTGTGGGCACAAACCAAGAGAAGCTCGCAAAGCCGCTGACTCACCTGCTGATGGATTATTTCCTACTCCCCTTCCATTGCTTCTCTCAATTGCTCGCTCGATTCTTTCCTGCTCAGCTCTTTGATAACGAAATCTGGCAATCTATCCTACGATTTTTCTGTGCAGCTTGGAGTACAGTGTCGATCTTCTTCTTGTCGGCCATGCCCGGCTATGTTCCGCCTGCAAGAGATGGAGACAGGACACAAGACGGCCACGAGTTGAACCCTCGGGTTCAGCGAGTGATACAGACAGACGGCAGGAGATGTAGAGACGAGATTGACATGGAGATGACAGATCGCTTCGATCGCCATCCTCCTTGAAGCTCTTGGAGATGAGACAACCTCAGAATCATCTTAAGTTGCTGTATTTTAGAAACAAACATGGCGTACAACGAGAGCAGCACGTCTTGATCTCCCTTACCCTCTCATTCACATCATGATCACATCGTCGTTCTGATCTCTTGGTCGATTGATGGATTGAAATGCTTCGTTGATTGCAGAAAAAAACAAGTTTTCTTTCAGCGCGTCCACAAGATTCAACTGTCCTGCATCGGCCGTTTCATTCGATTCCTTGCCGTGTGCTTTTGGTTGGATCTCCCCTGGATACCCTCGTTCAGGGGGGGCTGCGGCAGCCAATGTGACGGTCCTGTGCTCTGTTGGCACGACTTGGCGATGCAAACAGACTTCCATGCTGAGCAGGGAGCCATCTTCCTTCCTCTCGACGCTGAGAGAAATCGGTTGACCCTCCGGCCCACGGATACGCGAGCAAATCTCATCCATGCTGAGTCCAACAAGAGACGCGCCATCGATAGCAACGATGATGTCACCAACCTGTTGCAACGATAAGAGAAGAGATGAAGGTTGAGCATAGTCAGCTCAATCCCCACCCGGATGCGAGCGTCTTGTGCTGCAGCGCCACCAGGCGTGATTTTGACTACCTTCACAACCTAGCGGAAGGAATGAGCAGGCGAGGAAGAGGAAGGAGGCGAAGACAGCGACCTCTTGTTGAGCTGCAGATGCCTTCATTAGAAGGAGCCCGACTCCAGCAGCATCCTGTCCTTGCATCTTCCTCATTTCTCCTTGCATAGGCGCACAGAGCCGTTGTTGCTTTGTCATATTCTCTCTCATCAGGCTCTGTAATTGATCTTGAAGCTCTTGATTTTGTTTTCTTGCCACATTGGTCATTACCAACAAACAGATTTGTCGATGTCACCTCAGAGCTTCGATGAGGCCTTCACAGCCTGCATGAGCTTCGCGAATTGCATTGCATTCTCCCTGCGCATCCTCAAGCATCTTTGCCCAAGAATCATTATCCCGCAATAAGGGAAGAACAAACCTTCTGTTGCAATGAATTTTCTGAAGCCCATTCATTCATCAAGCTTTCAATCTGCCTCATCTTGTCTTGGGTCGTGTGCAATGCGGCGTCCTTTTTTACAGCATTATAACACAAGCCAGAAAACAAACAGGAAACCTTTTGCAAAATTGTTTGTTTTGCAGCCTCGTAATCGATCAAAATACGATTTTTGACTTCAAGCACATTTTGAATCTGGTTGGATAATTTCGAAGCCTGCAAAGCATGCAATGCGCGATCATTCTCAAAATTCAATTGGAGATCTGTTAGATCGCTGATGGCATCTTGGCATATTCCTTTCATCTCTACGAGTTGGGATATCAATGAACGGCTATTCATTGATTGAGCCTTTTCTTGTTGTTTGAAGTTTTGTTCCAGCTCTTCGACCTCCTCGAAAGCTTTGCACAGATCTATGTTCTAATTCTTCTTAGTGAGTATCACTTTGGTTACAATTTCTCACCATTTGTCTAATCTGGTAATGCAACGAAGTCCTCAGTTGGTTAATCACAATCACGTTGTCATTCTCTACATCATTTGTTAGAAAGTTGCTCAACAGATTCATATGGGGCATGACCGGACTGCAACCTCATGCTTTCTGCAGCGCTCAATCTTTTCGCACACGCCATGACAACCTCTGTCCGCAGCCTGCAAGAAGTGAGTTGCTTCGAGTGATCCAAAACAGCTCCACCGTTGCATTTTTGTACAGGAATGCCACTCGTGCAAGTGAACTGCAAGTACAGACACCCTGCTAGAACTGTCAAAAACAATGATGAAATCTGCTTCCAGACAGAATCGTTCCTTTTTCCGATCGTAATGTGATTTCGGATTCTTTCAGCATAGGCTTGTACTTGGGCAACCCTTGAAACACATCAACAAGCTAGTTAAAAGTGATTGTTCAAACCTGAGCTGATCATTTCTTTGAATTGCCTCAATTTCATGCTGTCTCTGATGAAGTGAATTATCATGCGAGTCATTTAAATCAAAAGAGTACATTAATAGATCGTTCGTGCTCAATTGCAATGAAACGTTGCCAATTGGAGAAATAGTTCTCCAGAATATTTGCCAACACCCTTGACGTCAAAGATAAGCCAATATTTGAAAGCATTACTTGAGATCGTGCAAACTCTCTCCATGTGAATAGTAGCATCTTTGTCATTGATCGAATCTTTCTCTTGTAAATTTCGCGATATATTTCATCTGCCAGTCGCTCGCGTCGCATTCTTGCATCGACTTGAGGTGATTGCCCCCTCACAAAGCTTCGCGCTCGCACAAGACAGACACTATACTCACTCTCAGGGTCATTGCGTAGGAAAGACAGATGTACGATTGAACCAACTGGGCCCATAAGAAGATCAGCAATCTGTTCATGGCTGAGCTCGCTTGTCAGAAAGTGACCATCAACTGATAAAAGTCTGTCATGCAATGAGATTCTCCTGCTCAAGTCTGCTGGTCCACCCACGGCAAGATGAGCCACGATGATGACTCCATCCGCTGACTTGCGTAAGATCAACCCTGTACTTCCTACCGTCTCGTCAGTCATTGGACTACTCTGCCATGATATCCTCGAAGCATTGGGGGTAATCAGATGAGTCTCAAGGGAGGAGCGAAGCTGGGGACTAGGAGGTCTTGACGACGTCGAAGTGCTGAGGGGGTGGAATGGCGCCTTAGAGGGTGAAAACTGCAACGCGCGTGTATGAGGCCCTGGCGACCCGGTAGGACTTGCGGACAGTCTGGTTGGCTCAGCATGGTCTTGATGTCCAAATGAAAGTCTGACTGATGTCGTGCCAGGAGAGCGCTTGTTAACCATGAGTTCACTCGGACGAAACTGCTGAGCTCGGGGAGAAGATGAGGCATAAAGAGGAGCAGGAGGAGATCCGACCAAACGGGAAGGAGCAGGAGGAGATCCGACCGAGCGGGTAGAAGCAGGAGGAGATCCGACCGAGCGGGTAGAAGCAGGAGGAGATCCGACCGAGCGGGTAGAAGCAGGAAGAGATCCGACCGAGCCGGTAGAAACACTGAGGGGAGATCCGACCGAGCGGGTAGAAGCAGGAAGAGATCCGCCCGAGCGAGAAGGATGAGCAGGTGGGGTTCCAACCGACCGGTAGGGATGAGCAGGAGGAGATCCAACCGAGCGGGAAGGTGATGCTGTTACGCTATATGCCATCGAAGCAAATAACCTAAAATGAGGACATCAAAATTTGATGTCTTTTTTTGTTTGGATCAATAATATAACAATTAATTTTTATGGCGCAATCCCTATATATCTGTTGCTGTCCTTTTAGGGTTATAGGGTTGCGCGCAGTAATAAAATTTAAAAAAGTAGTTATTGAGCACGCAACTTGATATAGTATATAATGTACGGGGTACTTTTCCATGCAAAATCAAGGACCGGTAGTATACAAGTTATCTAACATGACGTTCCTAGGATACGTGCGTCAAAGATTGCGCTGAAATAATTTGTACCAGGAAAAAGTTAAGTAAAGTATTGTTGGTGTATGCGAACAGTTGAACGTAAAACCACCCCACTGACCGAAAATGGATTGCGTCTGGGGACAGAGACAGCGGACAATGCAAGTAGTGTAGCCTCTTTCACGAGGGATGTGTCTACTAACAGAACAGACCGAGATATACATGCGTATGATGCGATGAGGAACAAACGAATCGCTGAGAGCACTCAGAAGGTATATCGTTACAAAATTCTAAAACTCGTCGATATCCTCCGAAAGAAAGCGAAGCGCGCTCAAAGAGCTCAAAGAGCAGGCGAGTCCAACGAGTATGAAATATACTTAAACGCTTTGAATGAGTCTGGACAATTGAATTTACCACTTTCATGCATGGCAGTTAAGGGATTGTTCGGCTATTTGACAAGAAGTACCGGTATGACAAAGAGAAGGAAGAGGAGGCGAGGGCAACATGGCGACATAGACGCCGATGACGACAGTAGCGACGAGAGTGACTCCGATGACGGTGAGCACATGGTAGAGGAAGCATCGAGCTCCACTGCCAACAATGTCAAACATCAGACGTTGTCTGTTGGCGCATTACAAGGATAAAAGAGCGCATTGAAGGACTTTTATTTCGAGCACAATCAGGAATTCACAGCGATAGGGGTAAAAGGAAATGACTGGGATGACTTTAGACCAGAACTTGGATAAAATCATCCAAGCATATGCGAAACATGTCACTGAGAAAAAAGTCAATGGAGAGATGCGTATAAAAGAAGGCAAGAATTTGTTGACGGTGCAAGGATACTTGGAAGTATGCAAAAAGGGAAGAAATCAACATGCTGCGAGAAGAGTTGAAGGTTGGAATAACGAAGATACCTGAAGCTGTGACAGAAACAATCCTAAAGAAAATCGAAATCAATGGTGTTGTACCTGTACAGAGAGATGATATAAAGGAATTGGAGCAACGACTGAACGAGTCTATTCAAGAATTGTCTCGACGCATTGAACAAATGTTCCAGTACAGGCGAAGTACGGGTGGATGTGACAGATCGGCAGGCATGACCTCGGAGTCGTCAGGTGGCGGCGGCAGTGGGCATGACATGACCTGGGGTGTTGGCACGGACTCATCAGTACAAGGGGATTTGTTCAAGTGGGACACAGGTGAAATCTGTATGGTTCCTCAAAGTTACGATTTTGTGCAGAAGGTAGACTGTAAGAACCTGTGTCAACGTTGGCGCTGTGGGGAACAATTTGTTGAGAATGGAATAGCAAAAAAGATATGCCCTTTGAAGAAGTTGAAACCGGAATTTATCCGCAAGAAAAGGATGCGGCAAAACTTTTCAAGGGCACGGAAAGTTATGGAGAAGCCTTGAGCCCATGGCAAGAGATAAA